CTCTCTCTCTCTCTCTCTCTCTCTCCTTCTCTCTTTTCTATTTCTTTTTTATCTTGTCACGCTCAATAAAAATTTCTCTTGACTAATTGTTTATCTATTTATCATAAGATATTATATTGACATGTACTTTACAATCAATGTTTGAGCCTGAACTCTCTTGGGTGTCGCTTAAGTACTTACATGCAATATGTGATATACACTTTCATCATATGGCGTCACACGTGCTCAAAATTATTGAATACTTTTGTCAAATATGATTCAACAAAGAGAAAGGATGTAGTATAATATAAAGTTTAAGTTTAATAACAAAAGAAAGTATTGTTTCTATAAGTTTTATACCGTACAATTATACGTTACAATACAGTCAAAGCCAATTATTCAAATGTAAAGTATCAATTTTATTTAAATAAGAGTTGTAGATTTTTATATTATGTAAACAATTATCATATATATTTATAAAATATTGGAAAGTAACGTTTTAAAAAAGAATTATTCAGCGTCTTCAAAACAATTTGAAAATCAGATATATCTGAATTTGCATAGTGATAGATGTATCTATTGGTGGAATGTAATTTATGTTCCTCTTCAGTTAATTACACGAGGGAAGCGTTGATGCTTCAATAGAAGCGGCGAGGCAAGGTGAGACAATGTTTAAAGGGCAATGGTATAATCCGAAGAAAGGCGTCGAAGCGCATAGCGGCGTCGATGGTAAAGTGGGTGTAAGTGAACGGCGAAGGTAGATGGCTACCGAAATGGTAATAGAGGTGTGGTTGTGTCACACACCAGGAGTTGCCGTCTTAGTGAAAGCTAGTATGATCTGGCACGAAAGACAGAGCAGTCTATCTGTCTTTATCAGCCGGATAGGCAGGTAGAACCGAGCCATTCTATCTCTTTCATCCCACTCCTCCTTTCATCTCTCACCATTCTTCTTGTCGAGAGTTACGCCAACGAGATCGGGCGAAAACACCCGATTGGCGTGTCTCTCTCAAACGGGGGAGGACATCATGTACTGCTATTGGCTCCCAGCGAATCCATACTAGGTATTCATTCGCCATCCTATTCGTCGATTTCTCGCGGAGCCGAAATCCCGTTTACCCCCCTTACATTGCAAATTCTCTCCCTCCTACATCCTCTCGTTCGACACTCCTTGTAAACAGTCAATGCAACTCACCCCTCTCATGGAGCGCTTTACAATGCATTTTACCGCCGGTGCTTTTACCTTTCGCACCGGATGTTTCTACATAAATACTTTTTTAATAAACGACGAGGTCACAAAAGTATGATAAAAAGCGCCATAACTACTGCACCATTTTTGCATATATTTTTGCGTCTAAGAGAAAATTAAATTTCCATATTCATCCAAATGTCAGTCATTTTTCTACTTACGATATTTGTCACATTTAACTGATGCTATAATTTTTGTTAATGCTAGTAAATATTCGGTATAGAGAATTTATTCTAAAGCAAAAATATGCATATATGTATACATTTATAAATATATGTTTATATATAACATTATTATAAAACATATTGACATGAAATTTCATGAAATAATTCAATTTCGTTTCAATATAAAATAAGAAGAAATTGAGTAAGAAAAGACAGTTTTAAGTTTTATAAATAGTTAACTCAATTGCATTAGATTAGACATATAATTATTACAAGAAAAATTATATAATGTGTCATCTAATGCAGTGTAGAGATTATCGATTATAAAACTTAAAACTGCTTTTTGTTTTTGAATCTCTTTTTATTTTATATTAAAACGAAATTAAATTTATTTCATGAAATTTCATGTTAATGTCAACATATTTTATAATGATATTATATATAAATATATACTTATAAACATAC